AGGGCTAGTGAAAAGAGATGGCAGGAAGACCACGTTCTGTGTGCCGAAGCTTTAACGTTCTATGAATAAAAAAGCTTCCATGACCTACTCCCAGAATCATAAACCAACTTTCAAAGCCCTTTACGATATATCAACAACATTCCACCAAGACATTGTTACAAATTTTCCTTTTTGGTCTTTGCAAACCATATATTGATGGCGGCACACAAATTCATTCATCCTGAATCCTATCTTTAAATACTTCAGTATTTAGTCTTTTAAAAATGTAAAGGATGTCATTTTCCTCCCTTTTACCACTCCCGTAATTGTAGCCTACTTCTATTAAACTCAGAAGGTCCAACCTATACAACCCTGTGCCCAGTGGTCGCGACCAAACATTTGCTGCACTTTGGAAATGTTAACAGTTAACGTTACTTAAACATGTCTAATGTTAAAATTATTTTGCATACATGTGCGTTACTTTTTTAATATCACTACACTCTGTGGGCATAAAAATCATCTTTAAAAGACGGCATGGGCCCATTGCCATTAACGTGATATAGAAAGAAATTTACTTTAATGATGAATATTTAGAAGAATATCCTAACGAAGTTGCCGAATGTGGAAATTTCAATAAAGTTTTTATAGTATAAAAAGTAAAAGAAACGATATTTTTTGTGAAGTTATGTGAGAATGTGAAATATTTTAAACAACAACAATTTTTATGCATTACAGTTAATTCAGTCTAGGAGACAATTGTGATACATTTTTCATATTTCTTAGATAATTCATTTCTATCAATCACTTTCACAATCTGTGTCTATATTTACACAAACGCCTAAGTACCGATATATCTACCTATTTGTCAAGCTCGACAACCGGAACTTTTATGTATAAGACATTTAGGTGTGCAATGCACTTAAGTTTTTCATTTTCCGGTTTACTTATTTCATAGCTATATGTAGTGTTTAGAATGGTCTTCACTGCTAAAATGGTTATGATGACCACTACATATTTGTATCATAAAATATAATATAAAGTGTTATTTATTAAACGAAATATACATAGGTACATACTGTTGATTCACTGTAACCTTTTATACATTTAACCTAGCCGGACGGCCAGAAAAATATTGCCACCGAAATATCCGACTATTAAGAGGCAACTAACTTTGAAATTATGGGACCTAATATAGGTTTCGTTGTAACAGAAGCAACGCGAACATTTTTTTATTACAACAAAATTAGTAACAAATATAAATTATAATCTAAACTAAATAATATATAGAATATAGAAAAGACCTAAGTCAATCTGGTAACCGTAGAATGAATGAAAATTATGGGACATTCTCTATCATTTGTCGTTTTTTCGGCATACAGGGCGTTAAAGTTAAAACAAAGGTTTTTATTAATAATTCTTTTATTTTCTAAGACATTCCATCGAAATTTTGCGAAGAATTTCGTCTCATACTAGCACACTATCTGTGTAATTTCTATAAACAAAATTTAAAACCCGAATGGAAGAACTTTCTTTAAACACTTTGTTCGTATAGATATTGCTTCTTAGATCAAGTGTTTCTTTAATATTTTATTTCTTGTAAAATTGTGATGTAGGGTTTATTTTAAGACAATTTGTAACTTCTTTGGTTGTATTATATGAACTTCTTTGTGTATGCTACGTCTAGAGATTGGCATGTAAAAAAAAATTATCAACACCGACAAGGGTTTTAATAATAAGCGTCCTCTTAATTTACTTAATCTAATTTGACAAATTATGTATACCAATTTAATATCGACATTTCCAGTTAGCTATACATATTCTCATATAAAGTCTTCATATATATCAAAATTTGTTGTTTTAGCCTTGTGCAATTTGTCTTCGTAATTGTCAACCTGAAAACTTTGTGCTAAGGACAAATGAATAAAGACAAAATTTTTCAAAATTGTTATTGCAAAACTAGTTATTCGTTCTGGATCTGTGCCATCCAAAAGCATTTTTGTAAAGTTTAGTTGGAAGTAGAGAAATTAAACAACAGGAATCAATATCACATAAAAATTGGAGTTATTTTCACTCAATTTATGTCCACTCAATTGAGTGAAATTTTCCTCTATTCGTTGAGTAGGTATAACTAAAATTTTATGAGTGAAACTATCGGTTCAAATATTATCAAAACTATGTAAAATTATCAAAATGCCCAATATTTATTGAAAATGTACTCAATAATTTCAATCAATGGATTCACTCACACCGATTTATTTACACAAAGAAGCTTCAATACCTCATCCAAATTAAGCCATAAATCAAAATCTGTAAAAGAGCAAAATATAAAAAAATGCTTAATCTAAAAAACAACACTCTTAGACCAATCAATGATTGCTCCGCTCTCGCTTTTATTTTCTTTTATCGACATTAAAAAATTATACAAACCATACGTAAATTTCATGATTATGTCCCAAAAAACAAGGATTTTATTAACAAAATGTCATATTTAAATTATAACACTCTGTATCTTGGAAAATAGTCTAAAAAAAAATGTCATATGATAATACGTGGTTAAACAGTTTGACCTACTTTTTTTAACATCTTGTTATCTTAAAATTATTCCTTTTTAGTAGTATAATTAGTTTATTCAGGCCCAGAAAATTTCTGCACCCCCGGTAACATTTTAAGAATGCTGCCTCTCTTCTTCGTTTTCATAAATTAAATAAAATTTAGGGTTGTATTTTGTATATTCTAGACTTTCTAATAATACTCTCCACTCATCGTAAAATAATATAGGTCTATATCTACCCTACAGCGTAAATATAGTTTTATATTCTAAATAAGCATTATAATAGCGTGAATATTGAATAACGATTCGGTAACATGCAATACAGGTGCACGAGGTTTTATTAGGTACCTACTTGTTATGCTGCTATGGAAATACATTGTGCTTTGTTATAATTTAAGTATAATTACACATAAGTATTTTTTTACAACATCCAGTTAGGTGGTTAAAAAGCTATTATACCCGATTATGTTTTTTCTCGGAATGAATTCCCATAATGAGTTTCAAAATTTCATACTATTTATTATTTTTGTAATGAAATATTACAGTCCGTTGTCACTGTCAATAGAAAAAGCGAAATGTCATTTACGTTCAAAAAACAATATTATGAGGAAGACAGGTACGCTGAAAAATGTATTATTATCACCAGGGAAGAAATAATATGACATAATCAATTTTTATTTAACATTTGTTAACAGTCTGTAAAAATTTGGTCGAAGTGATATCTAAAAATATTCAGATGAACATTTTAAACAGTTTGTACTATAATAATTATTATTGAAACTGGTTGACTTACTCAAAGAAACGACTATAAGAATAAAAAATTGTAATGAAGGCGCAGTATAATATGGAAATAATTCTTTTCAGTATCACAGATCTTTAAAATCGGAAATTTTCTATTTCTAAGAATTTAAATAATTTAGCTGAAACGTAATTCTATCATTTTATATATCAGTTTTTTATGGGTTTCCCATTATCGTAATTCTGCTTGAACAAAGTTATAGACGTTATAATGCCCAACGGTGTTAACTCACTGAAGCGCAAACGGCATCGACAGCACAGTTAACAGTTAAATGTCACAACGGAAGATACCTACTATATTTTGTATCGCCTAAGATACAAGAGATATGATTCTTATTGAACTTGAAATACCATTATATAAATCAAAATGAGTGACAAAACGCTTTTACCGTGAAAAATATGTACTGATATTAACCAAGAAGTATTAGTATTTTAATAATATTCCATTATTTATTGCAATATATAAGCAATGACTTCTGGAAAACATGGTGTTCTGCCAGAAATTAATCTAGTCATTAAATTCATTTATAGTATTTTTTTGTAATCATTACGCTCAGAGAACATATGTAGTTAAAAAATGGAGTTCTAGATCATAAAAATCCTTATACAGCTTATGAATTATACATGACTTTATGGTAGTATTCATTTCACAGTTACCGAGAATATTTTCAAATGTTTCCACTGGTTTACATTAAATTAAGTATTAATTACATAACTAAATTTCTGTTATTAAAGCAAATTATAAACATTCTAAATTTCGATATAATTGTAGGTATCGGTCCATATAACTAATTGTAAATAGTTATTGCAGAGAATGTCTCATTAATTTATATGTCTTATCTTCATGAACTTTACATCGATATTAATTTTGGTGTCCACTAATGATTTCACAACAGGTCAAGGTATATAAAGGTAGACCTTGGAATTTTTATTCTCTCTCCCTTGGAATCTTGCAAACACAGATACATTAACAGGACTCAAGACTCGTTAACAAAAGTCACACACGCACTTATAGACATATCGTTTTTTAACATAAATCGTAACTATACATTTCAGTCAAAGAAACATAATACTCGAACTTATACTATTCTAATGTAGAAGTCGTCCTAGATGTGTTTGATGGGGAAGAAACAATATTTTTATTTATGATATAGGTCAAGTATACTCATGTTGAGCATGAGAAGTATTGGAAAATCTACGATACTTTTTGGTTGTGACAAATATTTCGCAAAAGTATTAAAATATTATATATAGTATATATCTTTCCTATATCCTGTTACACATCCCAATGTTTGCAAAATCATAAATATTTTATGTGATGGAATTTGTTTAACATATTAACACTGTGTATGAAGTGTGTCACATGAAAACTTTAAAACAACGATATTTCATATAATAAACTGAATATTATTTTTGCATTGCAATTGCAAAGACAAATAGTTGCTTTCAACAATACAAATATCAAGGCTACTTTAAAATCACGACTTTTTAGTCCAAAGAAAGTACTTATTTACATTGTTGAATATTACATCATTACATTTTCTTAAATGTTTTACTTGTAGGCTACCTTTACTAAGAAAATGTTTTAAAATAATTAAGTAATTAATTATACACACCATTGCACATCGAATAAATCAAGAATTATTTATTGTGAAATTGTGTCAAAAATTACCTGATGGACTGCAAAGAAAAAAGCAACACCAGAAGTGCGAAACTCCCCCAACGAATTCGGCTAGAGCGCATGCTGATTGCTCAGCCTAAACATTTGACCACCGGAATCACAAAACATCACTAAATCACCATACAAATTGAACTGAAATAATGCAATAGTCGGCTAGATAAAACACAATTTTAACACATAACAACTATGATAAAAATTCGGTAAATTAAGAATACGTTTCCTCACACACCTACTTTCAAACTGTCACTATCTAAAATTTAACTGACGGTAAAACACTGCGCTGTAAATACTTTTAATTTTATTTGATATGCAATAAACCATTGTTTGACTTGTTATTAACTCCTCTACGACAACTATAAACATACTCATAACAATTTATATTTTAATAATAAAAATAAATGCAATTGTAACGATTGACATCTTTTTGTGGACTAATCAGTTTCTACCGACGAAAATGATTTAAAAACGTGTTTTGATTTTCGCGGGGTTATCTAATATTTCGCGTGTGCCATGAGATGTGGATGGCCGGATACTTGGTCAGTGATGCTGTTCTTGATGTCAGTCTCACCTGCCTCACCGTACCTGAGATGTCAGCCAATGAAAGCACGTGGAACCCCACCAACCCCACTTTATTATATGTAGGTGATAATTATTACAACTAATGCATTCTATTAAATGCAGTCAATCATACTGTATCCACTGTCGGCCTGGCAGCCTTGTCTTGTGGTCTGTACTCGGTAGTGGTTTATGGATTATGGTGTCATTACCTGCCATATTTAAATAAATATAGTGGCGTTTTTATGGGCTCTAATTTAAACGATGTTGGTTGCTGATAAGTTGACTTTCCTTATCTGATTTTAACACAGTTTGCTTATACACGTAAAATCTCAATTCCCCGCACATAAATTAGATCTTATTTTAGTTAGGCGTTAATTAAAAATGCACCGTGCAGTTTACCCTGTCACATAATTATTTCACCTCTTGCAGCAAAAATTCTATCTCTGTTTATTTGATAAATTTATGCGATAACGAAAAAAAAATATTTCCTAGATAATATTTAATCCAAAATAGTTTCTGTAAGGCATATTTATTAAATAAAAATTTGAATAAATGTTAGCAAAAGATACCAATAATTACTTTTAACTAATTTCGATAGAATTTTCAAAACTTATGTATTCTGAAAAGCATATACATTTTACACAATAATTTATTTTGAATAACGGCTGCAATACATTTTAAACAATAGTTCCGGGAAAAATATTTCTTTAGCTAATACAAAAACATATTTATAAGAATGTATAAGAGAATAACATAAGTGTATACCAGACATAATATAGGTGGTACATTATTATAGACAATTATATCTGTGCAATTATAATACAACACTCTCACATTAGTAACTATACCTACCGACTTAAAAATTAAGTAGGCCAGGAATTATGCAATATAAGTTGAATCTTTATAAATTCTTTATTTTTTCTAATAGATTAAAATAAGAGGTTTTAGGTTTTCTATGTCAGATCTTTTGTTGACTGGGTTTTCATTCCTGATCATAATCATTTCGACAAATCTTTTTTTAATCATGCTGCTTATACCATATCAAACTGTATGCTTAAGGAATATAAAATTTGATTTATTTACGTCATTGATTTGAGTTTTTAACAGTCTCCGTCTGGCCTATGTACAATTTGTTGCTACTTTTCAAAGAATTTTATGGAGAATAACTGACTTCATCAGCATGGGTGTTTCCGTTTTCGTTTTAGTGAACAAATTATTTTGTATTAGTATTCTCATTTTTTAAAGCAATTTCATTTAACTGTTGTCTATGGCATTTTTCAAACTTTAAAAAACTTGGTATTTTAAAACAATTATATCTTTATTTTAATTAGTGTAAACAGAGAATATAAAAAAATAATCAGAATAATTGTTTGAGTAAGATGAACAAATAATTGGTAAATATATGTAATTTTAAAGAGTGCGTATTTCCCTAATAACTAATATAGAAACATTTTATCTTTCTGGAACATTTTATTATTTTCTTTGTCCCACTTTATATACAGCGCTTTTAACGTGAAAACTTTCTTAAAATACAGAGTAGTCTTAAATTGTTTCCTAATATTTCAGGGGTACATTTTTTACATAACTTTTTCCTGAAAATGGATAGGAGAGATGTACATCAAACACGTTTTTTTTTTAATGAAAATTAATACAAAAAGTTCAGATAAACGAGAGTCGAAATGGGTTCTCTAGAACCCATTACATGACAAAAATTAAATCCAATATATTTGTCTAATGGGAAATTAAAATAAAAAAAAAATTAAAGCAATAGTCCAGAAAAGTATATAGAACGTTTCTTAATTGTACTGCTAAATTTCTATATAGTGTTTCATGGATAAAATTAATACGGAAAATTGAAATGGATCAATGCAAGTATTAAATTTGGTATAGGTTTTTCATTGATTCATACTCGTACAGATTCATTGACCCCATTTTCTCATATCTGCCTTGATAAAAAAGTGTTTTTTTTGTTTCCTTGTAAGAGTTTTTATTCTAAAACGTGAAAGAGTGTTTGTGGTACCTGAAAAAAATCAATCCATAAATGAAGACATGATATAATATTCATTTTTGAATATAAATAAATGTTTCTTAAAAACCGTAGGATAACTATTTAAGGGATTGTAAATTATCTGCCTTTTATATATATTTTTTCTTTTCTAATTATTTTATTTTATCATCAGATATTCAAATTACACTTGAAAAGAAACAATTATCTATTACGTATAACATCACTATCCTTTAATATAAAAGTAACCTGTAAATATATTTCTTTAATTTTATTAAAAAATTATGTTAACTACTTACAATTAACAAAACATAAAAATAATTTGGCACTTTCAAAAATTGCGATCACGTAATCAAATTTTTTTTATATGCAGAAGGACGCTATAATGGACAGTTTGTATTATCATAATAATAATTAAAACTTATTCTTTATCATCTTAAAACTGGTTGAATTAAGGCCACTAAGTTAAACTGCATTTTGAAATGTTACTGAAAGAAACAAAATTATAATGAATCATTTTTGAGTTAATCTTCTAGACTTGGTATTATTTGTACAAATATATACAATTATATTTTTAAAAGAACCATCACATTTTCTTTTAGATTTAGAAATGGTTTATAAAACTTTAGGCGATTTTGTAAACGGTTTAGGTATTCAATTAACAACTTTTCAAAAACTATTGTTGGGTACTACAGCACCATTGACAGAATGTTAATATATTGAAATGAAAATTACATCTCTTTCAAGATATAATGTCAAAAATTCGCTTATTAAGAAATGACCTGGTAAGTAAGATAAATCTTAAGTCTTCTGAAAGCCAACGAAATCGAGAATTTGCCCAAAAATTAATTTTATCTATTTTTTTGGAAAGTATGTAATGTACACCACAAAGTTCTAACCTACATAATCAAAAGGTTTTTTAGAATAGCAATTTAGAGTTTAGAATACATTAATTGAGATGAATTTGTATAAGGGCCATATAATTAGTATAAGATATGAGACGTATAAGACGAATGCTTCGCCGTAAAGTCCCAGAAGTCTGTCAGAATATTTTATTATATTCAAATAATCAAAAATGAATCTAATCAACAATGACAATAACACAGGCCAACAAAAAAATATCGTGTGTTTTTGAGACACGACCCTATCTATCTGTAGTAAAATTTTCCGCAGTATCCGAAAATGATCAAAAGAAAAAAAATTGTGACTATGGTTCTCCACCACACATTCTCAATTTCCCCCAAAAATTAAAAAAATCCAAAGTATCCATCCAACCCATCTATCTTTAGTAAATTTTCCGTTGAATCCGAAAGAAATAAAAAAAAGTTCTGACCCACGGATTCTCCCCCACACACTCTCAATTACCCCCAAAAATTAAAAAAATCCGAACCAGCCGTCCAACCTACCTATCTCTAGTAAAATTTTCTGCTGAATCCGAAAATGATAAAAAGAAAATTTTCTGACCTATGGATTCTCCCCCACACACCCTCAATTCCCCTCAAAAATTAAAAAAAAATCCAAACTGGCCATCCAATCTACCTTTGGATATTTAGTGAAATTCTCCGAATCTCCAAAAAAATTGTTTTTGGCTAGTTTGGATTTTTTTCATTTTTGAAGGGGAATTGAGGGTGTGTGGGGGAGAATCCATACCCCAGAAAATTTTCTCTTTAACATTTTCGGATTCAGCGGAAAATTTTAGCAAAGATAGGTGAGTTGGATGGCTAGTTTGGATTTTTTTTATTTTAATTTTTGAGGGGAATTGAGGGTGTGAGGGGGAATGCACAAGTCAGAATTTTGTGTTTAGCATTTCAGCGGAAAATTTTACTACAGATAGGTAGGGTCACATCTCAAAAACACACAATTTTTTTATTTTGTCGGCCTGTGTATTTACTGGCATAACCAGTTACTGTAACGAATTATAAAACCAAAACAGTGAATTTTAAAAAATAAATGTGCAAACTAATACAAATAAGTTAATGTTTAAATGTCCTTAATATGTATATTATTTTTATTTAAATATTTCACTGCCGACCTTCTTACTTCTAATGTAGACGTTATCCTTATCAGATGGATAATTAATATATATTCTCTAAAAATCCTTTCACCCTTCTTCGAATTGTTAACCACTATAAACTAGTAGGACATATACTTAATTTTTTAATTGAAATCAGGGAAATAAATAAAGGAATAAGGTCCGGTGATGGTACGATCTGATCAATGCAACTATCTGGAAGCATATGATTCAATTGTTCAAAGTTGAACAGGTCAACATTTCTCGGCCCATGTGCACCAACTCCATCGAGTTGATAGCAGCAATCCTATAATCGTTTGGAGATAATATTGTTCAAAAGGGTTGACAAAACTTTACTTATACCCATTGATCTACAGGTATTCTGTATACTACTAAAAAAAATTTATCTTAATTTATTTTAATAATAATTTTATTTCAAAATTCACCAGAGTTCGAAACTATTTAAGAACAAATAAGAACAGAATAAAATGCAGTATCCGATCTCGAAAGAGGTATGTATTTTGATTTAAAAATTCGATTTTTAATGATTTGAAGTTAGCCATGTTGTTCAAAAGGTAGGAGTGGAAAAGACTATTGTGCGTGTAGAGAAACGAATACATAGTTGATGTAAACACTTTGTAGATATTATAGTAAAACACGAGTATTCACCAACCGTAATGAATATCTAATTAGCTGATTTCTATAAACGATAGTGAGATAGTGAGAGAATACATGACAACTTTGCCATCTATTGATATACCATAAGAGGACTGCTATTGTGGGGCCATAAGAGGGTTACTGATGTGGTGCCATTGGTGGCATTGGTGGCTACTATTGTGGTACCATCAAAGGGCGACATTGTGGTGCCATCAGATGGCTACTGTTATAATGTCATCAGAGGGCTACAATTGTGGTGCCATCAAAGGGCGACATTGTGGTGCCATCAGATGACTACTGTTATAATGTCATCAGAGGGCGACTATTGTGGTGCCATCAAAAGGCTATTATTTGGGTTTTGAAATAAATATTTGTCATATAAGAGTGGTTATCCCCATCCCACTTTT